TACTAAATATTGATTATACATAGTTACTTCATTGGTTAAAGTATAAACTGTTAAAATTTGAAATGTAATTATTATGTACAATTTTATGTAATTAAAAATTTTCGATGTGCAAGACTTTTGTCCAAGTAGTGTATATTTTATAATTTATATATAATACAAAAAATCTTTTTTATACAAATTGTAAGAATTTAATTCAATTATAATTATATAAAAAATTTTTTGTGTTATATAAATTATAAAATATAATTATTTAAATATCTTATTTAATTGAATAATTTTTGATAATTCTTATTATAACAATAAATTTTATTAATAATTTGTAAAATAAAAATTATTTTCAAAATTAGTAATTTTTTTGGAATTATTTTAGTTTTGAAATGGTTTCAAATTTAATATTTTAAAGATTTTAATTTTTCAAAAAGTTTTATTACTTATTTTCAATAATTAATTAGTAACTTGTAAAAAAAATTATTTCTAAAACTAGTAACTTTTATAAATTATTTAAATTAATTAATAATTTTTTTTCCTTATTATAAATAAGATTTTACTATCAAATTCTTATTGAACAATTTTATTATCAAAATTTTATTGAATAATTAATTAATTAGTCAATAATCATTCAAAATAATTTTTCAAAATAATTATACAAATGATTATTTTATAAAATAAAAATGATCACTTTGTAAAATAATCACTTTAGAAAAATATTATTTTACTTTAGAATTAATTATTAATTTAATATTTAATAATTATTTATAAAAAAAAGTATATATTTTAGCTTAGAATTAATCAATTAAGTTTTTTAATAACTTAAAAATCAAGTTCTTTATTGATTCAAAAAGAATTTCTTTAATAATAAAGTTTTTTTGAAAATTAATAAATAATTTTTTTATTAATTCAATTTAAATTTATTTAGTTTGATTTAGTTTTTAATTGAGTTTATTTAAATTATATTTTAATATTGAATTTAGTTTGTTTTAGTTTTGTTTATGATTTTTTGTTTTAATTACAAAGTTATATTTGTTTAGTTTTGTTTTATTTTGTTATAATCTTTTATTTTAATTGCAAAGTTATATTGAATTAATTTAATAAATTGAATTATTAATATTTACTTGTTTATAAATTATATATTTAATATCAGAAATAATGCAATAATATCAAAATTTATTAATTAAATATAATAAAATATGAATTTTTCTTTTTATATAAAAGTTTTCAATTTTACTAATAAATAATTTTTATTTTTATATTAAAATGAAGATAATATCACATATTTTAATATATATTTTTTTCAGATTTAATCTAATAAAACTGTTCTAATTACATATAAAATCAATTATTTTTTTTATATGTTTTAATTATAAAAAAATAATTAATTTTATATACAATTAGAACAACTTTATCAGATTAAATCTAAAAAATCTGAAAAATATATATGTTAAAATATATGATATTAAAAATATTTATTAATAAATTGAAAACTTTTATATAAAAAGAAAATTCATATTTTATTATATTTAATTAATAAATTTTGATGTTGTTGTATTATTTCTGATTGCTACTATATATAGTAAAATTTTTATATAATATAATTATAAAAGAATAATTATAAAAAAATTGATTATATTACTAATTATTGTATATAATTATTTTAATATAATTTATTATTAGATTAAATTATTAAGAGTTTAAATAATAAATTAAAGAAATATTTATTATTTCAAAATTTAATTTAATTTAATTATAAATCAAATTTTTTTATACTTATCACTTTTGAAAAAGCAAAATTGAATAATTGTAAAAGAATATAATTATAAATAAAAAAGCAAAATAAAATAATTATAAAATATTTGATTATTTATACAATATTCAAATTTATTTTAATAATTTAATTATGGTAGCTAACGAAATTATATAATTATATATACAATTTATTAATAAAATATAATAAATTTATCTTATATAGTGACAATCAAAATAATATAACAATGTCAAAATTTATTAATAAAACATAGTAAAATAAAGTTTTCAATTTTATTAATAAATATTTTTCAGATTTAATTTTTATTTCAAATAATTATTTATCCAAATATCAATGGAACGATGTAAACTGTTACTAAAAATAATATTAATTTCATGAAACTTTAATTTACATCATTGTTTTCATATGTGTATAATAAAATATTTATTCAACTTAATCCAAAGTTGAACTTGAGATTGATGGTATCCTCTTTGACGATTTTTGTCTAATTGAACCTTTTATAAACTACTATATTTTGCCTTTGCCTTTATTATTGTTACTGCCATTATTATTACTAGCACTAGAAGCTGGAATATTTTCTTTATTATGTTCTTGTTTTTGAGATGTACGCTAAAGAAAATAAAGGAAGGAGAATCAAATAATGAATTAACTGTAACTCTTATTCTCAAAATATAATATAGTAACAAACCTCAATAATCGATGTCCCATCCCGAAACCTAGTTCGAAACAAAACATTGGCATTATTAAACATTCCGTCTTTGAGCGACACTATGATAAACTGAGATCCCTTAAATCGTGTTCTCAGTAGCTGTCCAATATTCTGTGTATGCGAAAGATCAAGCGCGGCGTCCACTTCATCCAATATATACATGGGTGCGGGTTTAAATTGCAATAGTGATAATATTAGGGATAGCGCGATCAATGATCTAAAATTTACAAGAAATTATAAACTCAATGAGTAACTTGAATAAAACTAATACTTTTTTGATGTTGTAATCATCAGCTTCATTTTACCTCTGTCCTCCACTCAACTCCGCTAAACTTTGCTTCCATATCCCTCCAAGACAGACTTTAACTTCTAATCCTTCGAGAAGGGATTTACCTTCTGGAGGTTGTAGTTTGGCAAAGCTACCGGGCAATAGATCACTGAAAATCGTGCCGAAATCTCTGAAAGATTTTAAATATATTATTAATAATGAATGGTTAACTATTAAATAAGCATATTCACTCTTACCTGTTAACCTTCTCCCAAGTTTTTTCTAGTGCGTCTTTCTTATAGTTATCAAGGGATACGATGGTATTCTCGATTTTTTTCTTATCTTTTTGAACGGTAGTCAACATTTGCTTCAGAGAAGTTTCCTTTTTTTCGACGCTGTTTTATAAAATGAAAGTTGGTCGTAAATCTTCGATCATATAAATATATAATACTTTATGTTATACTACCTTTCAATTATAAGCATAACTTTTTCATTAATCATCTTTCGCATGTTATTATGCTTTTCCTCCAGTTGTCTTAACATTTTTTTCCCATCATTTGGATTTTGTCGAAAAAAGTCGTAAGGAGTGTTTGATTCACCAAAAAGGCTGAATGATCAAATGTCATACACATAAGTCAAGATGTTATCTATTCTAATCATGAATATACGGGACAAAAGAGAATATTTACTGTTTTTGATCCAAAATCCATTCGTGTTCTGCTTCCATTCGTTGGACTGCTTGCTCGGCCACCTGCTTTTCTTTAAAGAATCTTTCGACTTCATGATTGATTTTTGACATTTCAAGTTGCGTTTCTGTCATTTGGGAGGTTTTGTTCTTTTGAGCTGCTTGTAGCTCCTTGATTTCCTCGTCAAATGCAGTCAATTTTTCTCGTTCTTTCTGTAATGCTGCTTGTGCTTCATTTAAACACCCCTATCGTAGCATCAAGAATGATTTGTTTATAAGACAACGTGAGATTAAATGAATCATTGAAAAAAAAAACTAAAAGATACCTCAAATTTAGATATTTCTTGTTTCATGTTTTCAGCTTCAGCCGACAGTTGCTCCAAATGAGAATCCGAAATGCTAATCTCCTTTTTGTTATTTTCGAGGTCTTCTGCAAGTTGTTCTGTATGATACGAGCAAGATTATGAGGATTCAATCAAATATTTTATTGAAGAATTGATTCCATAAAAACAACACTTACTAATTTCGAGATGAAACGTCTGTACAGCACGCTGCATATTTTTTACAGTCTGACTGCTTTTGGCCAATTCTGTTTTTCCATTAGTGACTGATTGCTTTGTTTAGGATATTGATATTCACAAGGAATAGTTGATACGTGCATTAGCTGAAAAATGTCAAGAATTTGCGTTTATCTTACTTGAATATCTTTTAGTTTTGAATCACGATTATTTTTAAATTCATTCATTTCTTTTTCGATTTGACCGCAAGATTCAAGAGCTGCTTTTCTTTTGGTATTTGCTGCGACCACAATATTCTCTTGTTCCGATATTTGCAGTTTGATATTTTCGATTTCATGAAAGGCCTTTAAATTATTACATAAAAAAATAAATTGTAGACGATTCAAATCTTAAAGAAAGGCATGACAATGATATTCTACAAGGAAATAATGTACCTGCGCATTACTACTCTTTGTAATTTGTTCTTCAATCAACGCGGCTTCATGTTTCTTCAGGTCCAATTTCTGTTTGACTGTTTGATATTGTTGCATGGTTTTTTGCATTCCCTCCCATTCAGTAACCAAATTAGCAAGCTTTTGTTTATGAGAGTTCAACTCTTTCTTGACCTCTTTAAGATTCTGTAATTTTATCAGTATTCCCGCGGTTGACGGTTTTGATCCACCCTGTAGAGTCCCAGAAGGATCATAGACATCACCATCTAAAGTAACTGATTTTGCCTTAATGTTTTTGTCAAAAGTCACTCGTTTGGCGCTGTTAGCGTCATCGCAAATAAGAGTGCTTCCGAATACATATTCCATAGCATTACTAACTTCACGGTCATATCCGATCAATCTCAAGGCGAGGTTCACTTTTCCAGGAGCGATTCCTTCAGCAGTCTTAATTTTCTGTGTATTGTAATAGCAATTAATTACTGATAATTACACATAATTTATAATAATAAATTTTATGCTTACTTCTGCCGAAAGTTTGAACGCTTGCACCTTATTTAATGGAATTATGGTCACACGTTTACGTAATTTTCCTTTTTCAAGCAGTTGAGAGCCGACCGTCTCATTTTCAACGACAACCTACGTAAATAATATTCTTAAGATTAAAAAAAAGGTCAAATTGTCTAAAGAGCATGGTAATTGTAAATATAATACATACATTATATAGCCGACCACCAGCACAAATTTCCAAGGCAGTTGAATATGTCTCTCTATCAATAGTCACTAATTCAGCAACTAAACCTTTAACTTTTGATCGGTCAAAATTGGGAACTGGATCGCTATACGTGAACTCTAGACTCGAGAGTTGTGATGATAAAGATTCAAATCGCTAAAAGTAACAGATTTATGAGGTATATGTGACTCATTAACCAGAAATGAATTAAATTCATTAGGTAAAATAACAATCAGACAATACCTCTGAAAGTTTTCTCACTATTTCTTGTTCACTAGATTTACTATTTAAAAGATCTGTCTCTTTTTGTGGGTCCCAATTCATCCTAGATAAAGTGGCCTATAAAAGGATCAAAAAATAATAATACAAGCTAAATAGAAATAATTCCGTCAAATATATTTGATTTATCGATACCTGCAAATCTTGCACTGCTTTTTGAGCCGTTCGAAGTTCACCCATAAGTTCTTTACTATCTTTTTGAGACTTCTTCACTTGAGGTTCTTTTTCATTCAACTCTTTTTTCAAATGAGATATTTTCAATTTTGCTTGTTCAACTTCAGTCGATGCCTGAGTCGCATTGTTTTTGGCCTCTATTCATTGATGAGATAATTTTAATTTGTTACTAAAGTTTCATAATGTATAAAAAATACTTCAGAAAATAAATACTTTGAATTTGTTCCATGTATCCATTTTCATGACCTTCCTGAGCAGATATTCCCGTTGACAAGGTTTGCAATAGCTCTTCTGATTTTCTCACTTGCTCGTTTTTTTCTTCGAATGTTCTTTTGACCTCATTGAATTGAGTTTGAAGCTTTTCATGTTCGCCCGTTTTGCGAACTAATGCCAGTTCTGTCTATAATTCGATTTTTAACCAATCATAAAAAATCCATACCTTATTGAATAAAACTTCAATTATACAATAGATAACCATGTGTTCATTTTATACCTCAGTTTTCGCGGCAAGCAATGACTCTTTCTTTTTATTTTCTTCTTCGATCGAGGCTGCCTTAAGATCACATTTTGTCTTTATGCGGACAACATGGTTAGAATATTCTTTGACCTTTTTTTCTAGTTCTTGAAAGTTGCCGCTATTGCCAAATTCCTATAAACATTTACAATAATACTTTTGTTTTAATTTGTACCTCTTTTTTAATATGTATTTATTACTGATCAAGTCCAATATAATCACCTTTTCTTTCTTTGTCATCAATCGTCTAACCTCGTTTTCTATATGCGCAATTTCCTCTTTTAGATTTTCGACCAATTCTTCCATGTCTCGTATTTTTTCTTTTTTGGCTTCGAAATCGGCTCCCGATCTGTGAAGTTTATCCTATAATGTTTACTGTTAGCATAAAAAACTATAATGTTCAAAAATGAAAGCTATTCACACACCTCATATCTGTGATATTCGTAAGCAATCACCAACCGGCTCAACCGTTCTATTTCAGATTTCGTTTTCACGAATTCCAAATACGATCGTTTCTCAGTCCTCAATTTTTCCAACATGGGTCCAATCTTCTCATTAAGTAACTATAACGAACTAATTTAGTAATCGATTTGGAAAGTCAGCATCAAGAAAAAATTATGATATGATTACCGTGGTAATTTCTTCGACTTTTTTCTCTTTTTTCGCGATGGTTTTCAAGGCTTTTTCCTTTCGCTCCTCAAACATTCGTGTCCCCGCTGCTTCTTCAATCATGGCCAAAATTTCTGGCGGTTTCATGTTTAACACTTTGGTGATTTTTCCTTGCATGATGAGAAAATGAGGGTTATTGATGTTGAGCTGTACGGACTGGAATAAATTTGCGACGGCTTGTTGTTGGGCTTTGTGTCCATTCACAATGTATTTGCTTTGTCCACCCATAACAATCTATTTACGTCGATATTTTAATATAAAAAAACGCTAATTTTGAGATAATCGATCAATAAAAAGCACGAACCTGTCTCGTTACTATGATTTGTTTATACTGCTCAAATCCAACTGGGCTATTTTCTCGATCCTCATTGTTAAATACTATTGTAACTGTAGCTTTTGTGACGCCAGCCTGACCTCGCTTATATATCAAATCTTGCATATTATTTGCACGGACCTGTAATAAAGTAAATTTTTGCTAGATAAGTTCACTTTCCGAGGTTATACAAAAGTAGTAACCTTCACAACATGAGAATATACGAATATTCCTCTTTTACCTGACTTAGGTTAGTTATGCCTAGCACAAAACAAATGGCATCGAGAACATTGGATTTTCCCGACCCATTTAGACCGGTAATTGCGTTGAATTCCGCGTCCCAGCCTGTAATGTGAGTGCGAACAGAGTATGACTTGAAACCTTCAATAATGAGTTCTTCTATGCGCATTATGAAACAGCTATTATGAGTTGAAGTTCAAAATTTACAATTTACGCGACGTGTTTTAGATTTGATACAGCTGCTCTGATTGGATGATCGGTTTTGCCACGTTAACGCACAGACCTTCGTGCAGTTTTATTAAATTAGAACCTAACGCGGGACTGTTGCTTATATTATTCTCAGTTTTTTCTTCGTATATACAATAAAATGGAACGTCTGAGTGGAACAGAACTATTACAAGTAGCAGGACGTCTTCTTGCAGAAAATAATTACAAAGAAGCAGTTAAAGTTTTCGACATTTTAGTTGAAAAATTGCCTGATGTGCCTATTCCGCTGTTGAGCAGATGTACCTGGTATGATATATTTTACCTTAAGATGCTGATGGACAGCATAGCAAAAAAAGATGATACTTAATGTGAGAACATATTTCTATATAAATGGTATATATTAGTCTTATACAGCTGGAAAAATACAACGAAGCTTTAAAAGATGGTTTGTCTATTTTATTTGTTTTTTTGATGAGCTCTTTTTATAGTTTTAATATAAGTTATTTAATGCTATTTAAAACACAGGTCTTAAGATACTCGAACTTCCCAATGGACCGGTAATGGAGGATATTGCCAATGGATGTACAACAATTCATAGTGTCGCATATATGAGACTCGCAAAGTGCTATAAAGAGTTGGAAAAGGTTCGTTGTCATTCATTGTCTATCGCGTACAAAGAATTACATTCATTCATTGATAACACGCAACTGTCTCACTCTCTCTATTGTATAAAAAAAGACAAGCGAAGCTGAATCAATGATAAAGAAAAAAAATGAAATCGAACAATCTATAATTCCCAATACGGCTAAATCATCACTGATCAAAGATCTTCCACCTGACGAACCATCTAAATCCCTTGCGGAAAAATTACGAATACAAGGCAACGAACTATACAAACACTCGAAATTCAAAGAGAGCGCAGCTATCTATTCCGAAGCATTAAAAAATGATCCGGATAATGTGCTGATACACTCGAATCGAGCGCAGGCGCTGTTACAATTAGGTGATTTAGAGAATGCACTTTGGCATGCAGATACTTGTATACGAGTGAATCCGAAATGGGCCAAAGGATATTATAGAAGAGGTTTGTAAATGAAAAGAACCTCGATCAAGATTTTTAGGCACTTGGATTAATAAATATTTAAATCATCATAGGATGTATATTGTTAGAAAAAAAACAATATAGCAAAGCTATAGTGGCTTTAGAGACCGCCAGCAATTTCGGATCAACAGATAAAGAATTATCAAAAAAACTAAAGATCGCTAAACAATTTCGAAAACAACAACAAATGTCCGAGATTAATAGTATGAAAAATGATGCTTCGAACTTTATAAATTTGTCAATTATTGGAGCGTTGGTGTTTGCTTTGGTGTCCATATTATTTTGGTATTTTTCGGATCAAATTATAACGGGAATTTTATGGAGCATGAATTTTGCTGGACAATTATTGGTTGGATATTTGAGTGAGTTTTGGTAAAACAAAAAATCTGAAAATTCATTCGTGTATATCTTTTAATTTTTTTAATAGGCATAGATAATAAATAGACATAGATAGAGTAGTCTCGTTCTAAATATCACCCTTGCTCACCAACTCTTGTAACTCTGTAAATAATTTGGTTGGTAATCCAACCACATTATAATAACACCTAAAGAATCGAGACAAACCAGTTAACAAAGATACCTTCGAGAATAAGACAATGAAAATGTTACCCGTCAATCTTTTCTACAAAGTGCGCAGCGATTCCTTGATAACCATATGCTCCTAAAATTAACGATCAAACTGATCAATAACGTTCAGTAATTCCTAGGTACACACATACGACAACAGATAACTTGCCAGCTTTATTCATTGGTTCACCAGTTTCAATATACGCACGAAAGAATTCATCACTTGTATGTCGAAAAGTAACCTTAGTTTTTTCTACAAATGTATGAATTTTATAGTCGCGTGGATTATTATTATTATTATTTGTTGTAGATGATGGATAAATTAATGCCACGCCAGTAAATACATCGTGAATATTGCCATTTAATAATTTTAATATCTCGAAAGCGTGTTCAGAGGATTCAGGTTTTTCCAAAATTTGATCTTTATACACCACAGTGTCTGCTGAGATAATCAAGTCTGGTCTGTAAGAGGACGACGGCTACTTGTATAGTAAATAATCGTGTTGATTAACCATTCATGGAGAATTGATAATAAATAGACAAGAAATCGAACCGTCATTAATCTTGCGTAGACTTCTTTTCCTTTCTCAATCGCGTTCGCTATCACATACTCTTCGGGTGTGTACTGTCGTTTATCAAGTGTTTCAGGAAAAGTACTTGGAATCACACTATAATTATTACCCTATATTGTAATATACACCATCATCACATTTTCTATTCGATTAGTTTGACATTAAAGAAAAAAATTTCGGATACCAAAATGGTTGACAAAATTTTTCGACGATTTGGACTACTAGAAGCCAATACTATATTCTTTCCTTCGAGATATTCCACATATTGAACTCTGAGGTGAGCACTCATGATTTATTTATTTATTTATTTATTTATTTATTTGTTTGTTTGTTTAAATAACAATAATAAAATCAACTAACTTCATCATCCGCATTAAAACTTAACAATTTTTTTGTGGTTTTAGCTTTAGTTTTGCCAACCTTTAATTTTTTACCTTTTTTATCCTTATCATCAACATCTTTATCATCAACATCCTTATCATCAACATCTTTATCGTCAACGTGATCATCTCTTTTACGTTTCTTCATACTATCAATTTCCATTTGGAGATTTTTTATAGAGTTGTCTTTGCTATTTTTGGATTTTGATTTGCTAAGAGAAACAGAAGAAGATTGTGAAGAAAGATTGTATTTATTAACAGATAGTGTTGTTGTTTTTGTTGTTGTTGATGATGTTGGCTTGCGAAAAAGAATTTTCCCTGTTTCCGGATCAATGGCTGGAGAGTCATTATCTTCTTCATATTATTAATGACGAAAAATAAATTAATACTTTCACTATATTAAATTTTCCCAATTATTGCTTACCATCAATAAGGTCATTATCTTTTTTTGTACTTGATTTTTGTTCCAAATAATCTTTGACTTGTTCCTCCGACAAATGTTTACCCTCTCTCAATACTACAATCTGTGGTTTCTCTTCATCACGTGAATTTATTAATTCGATTTCTTCCTCCTCTTTTTGTTGTTTCTGTGGTTTCTGTGAAACGATGTCCAAATTTGCTGATTTACCACCACCACCACCACCACTATCATCGTCACCGTAATCGTCTTCATCTGCATTAAATTCTCCTTGAGCAGAATTATTATCAATTAAACCTTCTAGGAAACGTGGAACCTTTTTTTGATATATACATATATGTATAGATAGATGTATAGATTTCGTGTTCAATCTGATCTTAATTAAAGACGATGCTTACGTGTTTTACATATGAAAGTCCTTTTGAGTATTGCTTCGGGGTCATTTTTTTAGGTGGCATTGGAATTTTTTTAAATATGTATCTGTGTTGCAGAAGGAAAAAAAACAAAAATGGATCGAACTTGTTTCAATAGACTAATTTTACTTATCATGCACACAGTAATATATATATATCGATATGCCAGCAGTGAAATCAATAGATTGGTCCTTCATGTTACTACTTTGTAACTTCTTGTGTGGAACACATGAAAATAACGTGTATATCTGTGCCTCAAGTTAAAATAATGCTAATTTTAATACATCAAACAATACAATATAAATTTTGTTATTGTATGTATGCTAGTATTATGATCGCTTCCGTATATATATACGTATGAATGAAAATTTTTTTGAATCGAATCAAATCAAATTGATTTTCTCCTTTCTTTGAGACTTCGATAGGTATAATCATAATAACAAGTTGGGTAATTTTACGTGTCTTTTTGCTTTGCCAACCTGTTTTAATATATAAAAATTTTCTAGAATGATATTCAACACCCCCCTCAATGATAATGCTCCACCGCCCCCTGTTAGAAAATTTACTTGGGAAGAACTTGCAAAGCACAATACACCCGAAGATGCTTTTATTGCTATCCGTGGTAACGTTTACGACATCACCAAGTTTATAAAGAAACATCCAGGCGGCGAAGATATTCTATTATTGACTGCCGGGAAAGACGCCACACAGGTTCGGCATATCACGTGACTTTCTCATTAGACAATTACCTAAATAAGTTAATTTTTCTAGGTTTTCGAGACTTATCATGAATTAGGAAAGCCCGATATGACACTAAAGTAACTGCATTTTTTGACCTTTTTTTTCTTGATTAGTAAGTATTCAATGATTTATATCTTTCTTTGATTCAAACGTACACAGGAAATATTATATTGGAATTCTTATAAATAATGAATTACCTACATTCCCTGAAGTTAGTGACTTCCATCGAACTGTAAAGAAGGTAATTCTTTTTTTTTTGTTTTCAAAATTAATTGAAAATATAATCATTTCATATCAATCCGTTGATTATATAGCGAGTGGAAGAATATTTTGAGAAAAATCAACTTGATCCAAAGGTACTTGTCGATTATTGTGAATATTTTGATCATCTTTGAGATTAATTTTCTATTCAATTCACCCAAAAGAATCGAATAGATATTTGGATTCGATATGCTTTTATATTCGGTGCATTCATAGCATCATACTATGCACAATTTTTTGTCGAATATGTTGTTGATCGGACCTGGTTACAAGTTATATGTGCTATAGGCATGGGGTTCTCGTTGGCTCAAGTGAGTCTTGGTTTTTCGGCTTCACTCGGAAGAGTTATCTAACAATGATTTTATTCTATCAATTGTAGATTGGATTGAATCAACTCCACGATGGAACTCACTTTTCCGGTTTGCATTTTCCTTTGATCTATTTTGTTTGGTAATTTAGATTCTAATAAATAATTCGTTATGAACCATCAGTTACACATAATCCTTTGGTTTGGAACATTTTGGGAGCAACACATGATTTTTTCAATGGAGCATCTAATTTAGTTTGGCAATACCAACATGGTCTCGGACATCATATTTACACAAACATCGAAGGTAGAAATTTGGATGTTCATCTAAATTTTAATAAAATGCATTTTATTGATACTCTCCATTCATGACTCTTAATCTAGGCGCTGATCCAGATGTTGTGACATGTAAGTAATTATAAAAATTTTTATCAAATATCATAAACGCACATCATTAATATTTTAATTTCTTAGCCGATCCTGATGTAAGACGGATTAAATCTACACAACAATGGTATTCTCATTATTTATACCAACAATTCTTTGTTCCTCTTCTATATGGATTATTGGCATTTAAAGTTCGAATACAAGATATCAATATTATATATATTATGAAATCTAATGACAAGATCCGTGTAAATCCTCCAAATACCTGGCATACAACGATTTTTTGGGGTGGAAAAGTAATTTTTTGTTTTTGTTTGATCCATTTATGTTTCTATATCATTAAAGTCGGTTTCTTTTATGCATTGTTAGGTATTTTTCATATTTTATCGGGTCATCGTTCCACTTGTTATTGTGCCAGCGACAAAAGTCTTGATCTTATTCGTCGTAGCAGATCTTGTTAGTTCTTACTGGTTAACTTTCACTTTTCAAGCGAATCATGTAGTTGATGAAGTTGAATGGTAAAAAAAAACTACTATACATATCATTGTTAGTATTACTACTATAACGGAGGATTTGTTATTAACTTCCATATGAAATTAAAGGCCTCTTGCTGATGATAAAGGTTTCATTAACAAGGATTGGGCTGAGATGCAGGTAAATTATCTAGAATAAATTACTGAAATGAAATCTCGAGTATATTCTGAACTCCAAAAAACATTTTTTTATCAATATAAAATAGGTTGTCACTACCCAGGATTACGCTCACGATTCTGCATTTTGGACATCTATCGTGGGCTCCTTGAATTATCAAACTGTTCATCATCTTTTTCCGCAAGTTTCTCAACATCATTATCGAGATATAACACCAATAGTTAAAGCAACTTGCAAAGAATTTGGAATTCGATTTTATTACAAGGTATAATTATATCACTATTCTTTGGACAGTCAAACCTCGATATACCGATAAAATTTCCTATGGTATAACGGGTTTTATAATAAATTCTCGATATAATGATGATAACGTTATCTCGAGGTTTGACTGTTATTAATCTCCAAGATATTATGTTCATTTCTTTTTATTATCTAATCTTAGGACACTTTTTGGGATGCATTTTCATCTCATCTTAATCATCTTCGACTTTTGGGAATGCAGCCTATCGAAAAGAAACTCGACTAACCAATACTAGAAATACATTATATTACAAATAGAGTGTGTATCCATAAATTTATAGTATATATTGCATACTGTATATTGTATATTGTATATTTTTATATTTTATATTTCATAGATCACGAATTTCTATTCGATCGATTTGTGTAATTACATTAATTATATTTCATATCGATATATTTTATATTATTATTATTACATAATTTATTAAAACGATCGATTTGTGTAATTATCAGGTTAGCGAGCAGCAAAATGAATATGAACGTTAAACTTTATTTTAATGGCTTTATGGTTCGAGTTTTGGGTTTCGATATCTCTTTATTATTTATTAAAACGACCGTTTCCAAATGTCGACATATTTGACGTCGTCGCCTTGTTGATCGGAGTTTCTTACTGCTACCGCATTCTATGCAAGCATTGTGTTTCCCTGCTTGACAAATTGCCAGTATCGGATCATAAGATTTATTTTGCGAGAACATTTCATGCGCGTTTTTTTCCAACGCGTCATGCATTTGAATATCCTGTATTGTATGTTGGTGTCGATCTGGATAAACTTTCTTCTGGGAATGTGTTTTTATGGGGCAAAGATTCCGTGTTTGGGATTTTCAATAGGTAAAGATCTCTATTCTCGAGTATCAACACCTTAAATACGATTTTTATGATTGAACGGAACGGGATTCCTTCGCATACCTAAAATAGGATTTTCGCGTATAATCAATCAGCATTGTTCAGTGTTTTTGCCGATGATTATTTGGGTGAAGTGCGATTGGAAAATAGTGACGATGATAGCAAACCAGGTGTGCCCATTGTTCAAAGCATCAAAGAAAAATTGCTCTGGCATATTCGAAGACGCGTAAGTAATATTACGTTAAAAAATATGCAAGTCAATTCGTCAGATCAGTTTATATGCACCAAACAAAGAAATTGCATGTCATTTTAGAAAATATCTACGGAGAATTTAAAGCAAATTGAATTAATTACTACACCGAGATTTTTCGGATATGCCTTTAATCCAGTCAGCTTCTATTTTTGCTATGACAACAACCAAGAGCTCGCCGTTATTGTCTTGGAAGTCAATAACACATTCGGAGAAAAACATTTATATGTACTTTCACGGAATACGGGAGATGATGCAACGATTCGAAAAGGGTAGACTTTTATTTATATTACTCGGGAAAAATTGATGTAGATATATTAATCAACCTATTTATTAGATACGATCTGAGCTTTACATTTCGTCGTGCCTTTCACGTATCACCATTCAATGATAGAGAAGGATTCTATCAGGCATTTTGTAGAATTCCGTCCAAAGGGAAACTTGATATGCGTCTAGTGATGTATACGGAACTTTCGGAGTCTCACAATGATGAACCAGGATCTATTCGACTTGGCAAAAAAAAGATGGTGGCCGTTGTGTCTGCTTCTTCCTATCCACTTTCGTTGACTAGTCTGTTTTGTGCCATGATAACTTATCCATTAGATGTATTCTTGACAATGCCTCGAATATTAAAAGAAGCATATAAACTTCAATATCAAAAAAGATTGGGAATTTTTCATAGACCTAATCCTATAGAAGGAACCGTAGTAAAACTGGCACCTAATTTTATTGATCGGTATGTATGATTCTCTTTATTTCGTATTAACGCATTACTTAAAATTCTTAAATCTTATTTATTTTCATTTTAGTTATGCTCAACAAGTTACCATGAAATATTTGCATGAATTGGTTGCAGTTTGTTCAGAACCAATTTCTCTTACGATTCATCTTCCTTCCTTCAATGAATCACCGATTCATATTCCAATTCAAGTCAGAAATACTAATTCGTTCGAAGAACAAAATCGAGCACATAAAAAAATCGTTTTGCATCTTTCAAATTACACTTTTTTCACAAATTTTCTATTTGATCAGAGTATTTATCGCGCTCTTATTGTTGGATATTTTGAAAAAGCATGGGAATGCAATGACCTCTCCTTACTGCTGGATTTCTTTTTCAACCTTACATTGAGAGAGAACAACGAGGATGATTATTTTAAGAATAAACCATACTTAATCGTTTGGGCAGCAAAGATTCGAAGATTTTATTTGAGGAGTGTCATTAATGGAAAAGATTCTGGTGGGCTTGAGGCAAAAAAAGAATTTGATCGATTGATTCAAAAATTATCGTTGAATAAAAGCAAAGATCAAGAATTCACAACTGCAATAGTACAAGATGATGTGCTATTTTCTGAAACGGTAAGGATACTTAGATTTGCATATTATTCTATGATGCTCGTCAATTATATTTATTAATTGTATAGCTTGCGCTTATTAGAATATGAAAATTCCAATTCGAAATCTTTTGGATGCAAACATCAAGATTTGTGACTTCAAACATATTTATATGTTTAGTTCACATTCATCTGGTTCTATCAAAGATCTTTTATCGTTAGTGAATGACAAACTTCATTTGCTGCCATTTCCACCTCGATATTTTCCCAATGAACTAATACGACATCCTATTGATAAGATTGTACTCACCTCTTCAGCATCTAAAAGTGACCGTTTACAACATTTTTTGATTTTGCTTATTGGTGCCATGTTGTACAAATTAGACGCATGGTTTTGGCAAAAAACTACAGACTTTATAGAGGGACCACATGGTAACCCTTTTGTTGTAGAAAAATATATCTGGGAAGGTGTAGTAGATTTGATCAAAAGAACTAGTGGTAATAACTCATGCGAGAATATACTAGATGCATGGGAAGTTGTATTTGAAAGAAAAGGTATAATTTTAACCTTAATGATTGTCAGAGACAAATGTTTAATTGATAACGTTAAAAAGTAATTATTTTTCATTTTAAAATTAGATGATCAATTACATTTGATTCCACCTGTTCCCTTGACGAATTTTCCATGGAGATCAAGAGAACAATCGAATCATATTAAAGATTTTCAATATCGGTTATGGTCGTTTATGAAAACTTTTAGGGAAGTTGTACTTATTAATCGTAATACATAGAGTATCATAAATCGCTAAAGATTTTATTTAATTGAGAATTTAGCTTTTTCAGTATTGTACGCGTATTTTACACTTAATGCATTGTATAAAAAGAACTTGTGATTGTTCAATTCGTAATATATTTAATTTGGATTCTCTATCGTTGTTTTTTTTTCTTTCTCCAATAGAGAATATAAAGCAATGCAGTGTCCCAGCCAAGAATAGTTCAATATAGACGCGTGATATGTTTGTTGTATATTTTGGGTCATTGCAATGAACTATAACTCAAGAATAAGAAATTAACATTTAGTAATCAATCAATAATTAAAGTACTTGAATGTACAGTTCGTTTTTGGTGGTTATCTATTTGAGAAAATACTTCGACACCCAACACCGAGAAACATTTCAAAGGGAGTCTTTACGTAATGTGAAGGTGTTCGAGTATTTGTAAAGTTTGAACACGTCCAAAGTCAGCATGATCTACATTCACGTTTAATTAACAAATCGTGAAACATGGATCTTGCAAGCATTTCGAATCCTGAAGAACGTTAATCAAGTTGAAATGACTGCACAAGAAATTTTCGAGGAAAATGACAATGCTCAGCAAAATCTTTTGTCAGGGTATATTAATATTGGCTTACACAATACTCTTTATCATGTTTATGGATGATTTCTAAAAAGATGCACATACGAATTATTTTTTAATGTTTAGTTCAATGTCACTTTTTTCTTTATCTCCTTCCTCTGCTTCTGTTTCTCCAGCAAATAAAAAAGAAGAAAAAGATGCTTATGAATTTGGAAATGAGTATTTTGTAGAAAATCACAATGATGACATCGGGATTGATAATGAAACAATTATGAATAATGACAATGATGACACTGATAATGATAGTCCAATCGATGAGGAATATTGGCAATCGATCAAAAAATTTCAAAATTTTCAAAGTCGGCCAACATTGCATGCTCCTGGTTGGCATAGTGCAGGTAGTCCCAAGTAAATAATAATATTTACCATTTACGATTTTTTTATTTATAGATAATATACGAACGCTAGAATTAATTTCATTCTCTTAATTTAGTGAGACATTTACATTAGTTCAAGATTGTACCGGAAAAAACGATTTTGGTAAGTGTATTTTAGAATAACAAATCAAATTTAATTTATAATTATATTTAAATATTTTTTTGTATACATCGTATATAGAATTTCGAAATCTTCCTTTTTATTCTCAAGTTATTTTTACTTCTCCCACAAGTCAAAAAGAACTTATACTTGGAACTTCCTCTATCATTGCTACTTCTGATATTACTTCTTCTATCAACAATAACCAAAAAATTCATACCTTTGTTCATCTTTTTCACAAATTACTTTTTGAACCAGAATTTGCTCACATTTATCTTATGGCCAAAGAAGTTCTTCCTTTGATGGAAGAAATCTTTTCAAAGAAAAAAAAGCCAAATCAAAAAGAAACATCATGTCATTTTCATTTTCATTGTGGAAATTGGATAAATTCAGGTTGTGTTCCAATCACTAATGCTGATTTATCAACTTATTCTGAAAAACAGGCAAATATGATAGGAAATTCAATTTATCCTCTTATAATATCTTTGAATGATATTGTGATGATGAAAATGAGTCAATATTATGCTTTGATGTTGGATAAATTTATGAAATTATCCATGCCAGAATGGATAAATTGGAAACCACCAATTTATCAAATGGCAAGATTCAATTTTCATAAACATTATATTGTTTCATCATCATCATTATCAAATAACAAAAAATTAAAATGTAATGAATTTTTTAATATTAGAAGCATAGCAACAAAGTTTGGATTTGTTGCAGTGTTTTTTATTGGTGATTTTACTGGTGGTGAAATTCTTTTGAAAGATTTTAAGGTAAAGATTCAGGTAAAACCAGGAGATTTATTATTTTTTAGAGGTGGAATAAAATATTCAATTTATGATTATGTGGGTACATTTGGAACAATTGTTTTATTTACAGAAGAAAAAATTTTTATTTAGATTTTGGATTTTTAAATTTTTGGATTTTTAAACTTGTAAATTTTTTATTTTTATTTTTGCTTTTGATTTTAAATTTTTTAATTTTATAATTCATTTATTTTTTGATATTTATTGATGTTTATTTTATTTTCTAAGTATTGCTGTAAAAAATTAAACTTTATATTGTTAATAGCAAAAAATTAATGATAATAATAAATGCGTAATAATAATAATAATAAAAGCTCATCTCTAATATTTATTATCAATAATTTAATATAACGCAAATCAAGATTGATTCAAAATATTGAATTCATTTTTTTCAAAGATATATATTCTCGTTCTCTTACAACATCTTCATTAATCCATTTCATAAATCAAACAGCACTAATCAACCACCGGAAATATAATCTCCCGCTCCTTCTTAAATAACAATTTGCCCTTCGATAGTTTTTTGATCCAATCCCAACCGTTTCAAACAATCAAAATATCGTCCCAGATCTTGCCGCTTCAAATATTTGAGCATGCCTTGTCGTTTGTGCACCATCATTCGTAGTTGTCTATAGTTGTGTTTGTCTTTTCGGTTTTTTTTAATGTGTTCGTGAAGATTGAGAATACGAACCGTCCAGACAGCAGCTTTTTAATTAATGAAGAATTAATTTCATGTAAATGTTTTATTAACTAATCAAATAATATTTTGATCTATTCGTTCACTCACCTTGGACTTCGGGACTTCCTGTATCCCCTTCAAATCTACCAAATTCTTTAAGCGCCTGACGAACATTATACAACGAAATAGCTTTAGCGTTCGTATTATGTAACGAAACAATTTTTTCCAAAGTCGCAGCTTTCTCTTCTTCATCTTTAACTTCAGCAACATCATCACCACGATTCGCTTGCTGCTGTTGACTATTCAACTCTTTTGCCGCTTTCGGCATTGTATGAAACAATAAATTTTCATCACTCTGATCGAGGAAATAATGTTTAGGTCGTGGTAATGATGGATCAGTGGCCGCTTGATACACTTGTTCGGGACGTAGCAGCGACTTGGTAAATGGTGTCTCGATTCCGGATATCGGATCGGGTCTTGAATCTTCTTCTTGCTTTTGACGGTCGGCTTTGAATTTTATGTGTGCCCGTTTTATTTGACGTGATTTTCTTTTTTGGAGTATGGGTGTTGAGTGGAATTGTTGCTTTTTATTTTGATCTAGTAGCTGATGCTTAGTTTGATAAAAAGATGCTTTCGATAAACATTAATATGTATATGCGTTTTCATCTATTCATTTAATTTATTTATTTTCAATTGGCGTGTAATCGATAAAATAATCCGAGAAATCAATTAATAATTACCAAATTTGATGCATTCACGCGCCAAAAACAAAGATTGCAATTGTATTGGATACGACGACGAACATGCAAATATACGTTTACATTGGGAAAGTATCATTTCTTTAACCATTCTCACATATACAGTAAGTACACAAAGAATTGTTTTTTATTTCCTTAACGTTAACTATAAATAGAGATGTTTGATGATTTCCCATAGTTGATCCTTACTTGTTTAGAATAACACCGCAATAACGATATCGATTTCTGGACGCGCGTAATAAAAATACGCTTGTTCAAATAAATCTAAATATACGATTTTGATTGGCTATAGACTGATCTTTGGCCTAAATTATGGTTTGATTTCTTAATGCTGGTCAAAAGCCAAATTTATCCTGTAATCTATAGAGTTGGTCGAGAAGTTTGAATACACCCATAATTTACTACCACTAGATAATAAAAGTTCTTGATTTGACATTTTTCATCCGCACGATTCCATCAACAAACTACTTCTATTTTCTTTATTTTCAACTATACAAAATGACTACTGATCTTTCAAGGTAAGCAATTCTTTTCTTTGAATTTGCTTTTTTGCTAATTAATCTTCAAATTATCGGAATCTTACTGTTAACGATTACTTGGCTGCTACTCTTAGTGTTTTGCCAAAACCTCGACATCAATTATTAACATCGCAACAACAAGATCAATATGAACGTAAATTTGAAGAGATAACCTCGGTGAAATTAAAAAAACAACCACCACCATATGGTCAACGTGCAGATTGGAAACCCAGAACGGCCGATGACTTTGGAGATGGTGGTGCATTTCCAGAAATTCATATTGCACAGTATCCATTGGATATGGGACGTAAAAAAACGGTAAGCTTCCTATCGATACTTCATGTGAATATTATTTTTATACAGATGTATTATGAGCTTAAATAACGAATTTGTATTTAGGCCACAAGTGGAGGCGCATTATCATTACAAGTTGATGCAGAAGGGAATATTCGTTACGATGCAATTGCCAGACAAGGGCATAATGAAGATCGTATAATTCATTCACAATTTAAGGACTTGGTTCCGTTAAATCAAAAAACCGATATAGAAAAGGTGTCATTTGAAAGACCCGACGAAGAAGAAGTTAAAGAAACAACAGAGAAAACAAGAGAAGCATTAGAAAAAATTGTGCAAGGTAAAATTTCTGTATAAGATATGTTCTGTAGGATTGACAATTAAAATATTAATAAGACTTTAATTAATTTATAGGCAAAATTAAAGCAGCACAACCGAAAAATGTGAAATCCGATCAACCATCAGAGCCCACATATATAAGATATACACCGGGACAACAGGGAGAAGCTTATAATTCTGGTGCAAAACAAAGAATTATTAGAATGGTAGATATGCCAGTTGATCCAATGGAACCACCTAAATTTAAACATAAAAAAATTCCTAGAGGTCCTCCGTCTCCACCTGCCCCTGTACTTCATTCCCCTCCACATAAAATATCCGCACAAGAACAAAAAGAATGGGTAATTCCACCTTGCATTTCTAACTGGAAAAACGCCAAAGGTTTTACCATTCCTCTTGATAAACGTTTGGCTGCAGATGGTCGAGGTCTACAAGAGGTATTTATTATTTATCAATTTATTTTTCATCATATAGATAATAATATTTATATTATTTATTATTTAGTCAACAATTAATGATAATTTCGCAAAATTATCCGAAGCACTTTTTGCAGCTGATCGACACGCACGTGAAGAAGTGAGGCAACGATCACTAATGCGAGAAAAACTCGCTCAAAAAGACAAAGAAGAAAAAGAAAAAAGATTGCGCATGTTGGCACAAAAAGCTCGAGAAGAAAGAGCTGGGATATCAACAACAGCAGCAACAGGAACAGGGAAGTCTTCTAAACCTGACGAAGACGAATTTTCATCTGAAGAAACAGATGATGATGTTTCAAAATTAAAAGAGCGTGAAGAATTAAGGAGGGATCGAAGAAGAGAACGTGAACGTGACTATAGATTATCGAGAATGGGAGCAGAACAAAAGGCAAAATATCTCGCAAGAGAACAAAATCGCGATATTTCTGAAAAAATTGCGTTGGGCCTTGCTAAACCTACCGTCAGTAAAGAAAGCATGTACGACTCGAGGTTATTCAATCAAAGTGAAGGACTTTCTTCTGGATTTAAAGATGATGAAGGTAAATCTAACAATTTCTGTATCATATCTTTAAGACAAATAAACATATTAACTTTAATTATATATGCGCTTTTATATGAACAGCATATGATTTATATGACAAACCATTATTTGCAAGTTCGGCAGTCTCAAATATTTATAATCCTAAAAAGAATTATGATCCCGACATGTTTGGCGGAGGAGATGAACAAGAAATTGTTCAAAAATTGAGTACCGAAAACAGATTTGGACTTACTTCAAAAGGATTCTCGGGAGCAGATCCAAATCAGGTTTGTTTTCCTTATAGATATTCAGATATTCAATTATCAAGCAAATTCAAATTTTAAATTTATTCTTTATTTACAGGCACGAGATGGTCCAGTTGAATTTGAAAAAGAAAGTTCCGATCCATTTGGTTTTACTCAATTCTTAGCTGCAGCTAAACAAGGAACTAAACGTGGCCTCGAAAATGTTGGGGAAGGCAGTAGTGGTCATAAAGGAAAGCGTGCCAAGGAATAATCAAATTTACCAATTTCTCAATTCAGAATAAAAAATCAATTTATTCTATTCGTTCTATATGTAAATAAATTTTTTCTGCACCTTGTGAAAAATTTTGTCTATTTAATTTGAGTGCTAGAAAATGACAAAAGCTTTTGAAAACATTAATCTGAAAGTTTAGATTCAATAAAAAATATAAATTGAACAAACTAATTGATTATTGCAATAAAATCACTAAATCGTGAATAGTATCGGATCTTGGACAAATTTTGAATGAAGTATTTTGTAAAATGAGTTTAGTTATAAATTTCCAATTTACATAATAAGATACTGAAATATTTACTTTATATATATAATGCATTTTATTAATAGATTGTATTTTATAAATTTAATAAACTACTTTACTAAAAAGTAAATATAATGTAAAAAATCTTAATTCAACAATATAATAAATCAATTTAAACTCTTAAATACTTTACAAAAATGAAATTTAGAAAAACTAAATCAATAATATTGTTTTTTGAAATAAACTTTATTAAATTATCAGTCAGATTTTAAAAAAGTACTATATAAAATGTTATTATTTATTTTGTAAATGTTAACAGACAATTTGCTTGTTAAAATTACAAATTTCAGATTTTATTTAATTAAAAAATATTAATAACTTATAAAATAAATTATATATTATTTGTAAAATTTATTATTGAATTTTTATAATAACCTAGTTTATAAAAATTTAATATAAAATATCTTTTACAAATATAATAAAAATAATATTTAAAATTAAATATAAATAACTTACAAAAGTAATATATTATTTTTAAATTTACTATTTTTCTTTATATAAAGTTTTCAATTTTATTAATTAAAATTTTATATTTTTATTTAATCTGAAAAAGTTTTTTAATTATAAAGTAAATTAATTAATTTTTTATATAATAACTTATAAAAATAATATATTACTTTCAAAATTTATTAATAAAATATAAGTTTTTTTATATAATGACAATCAAAAATAATGTAATAATATCAAAATTTATTAATTAAATATAATAAAATATGGATTTTTCTTTATATAAAGTTTTTAATTTTACTATTAAAATAAAGATAATATTATATATTTTAACATATATTTTTTTTAGATTTTTTAAATAAAACTATTCTAATTGAATATAAAGTTAATTATTTTTTTATATGTAAATGAAAAAATAAAATAAGATAATTATAGAGAAATGTGACTATAAATGGATGTGCTTATAAAGAGATTTGACTGTATTAAAATTTTGTTATATTTAAACTTAAATATTTGAATTATATAGTATATATTATTATAATATAAACTTTTATTATATAAAATAATAATAATAACTATATTATTATAAAATAATATAAAATATTATATATTTTAGTTACAGTTAAATCTTTCTATAGTTATATTTATTTATATTTATACTTTTCTATAATTAGTTTATTTTACTTTCTCATTTATATATAAACATAATAAAAAAACTTCTTTATTATTATATTCTTTCTATAATTATCAAATTTTGCTTTTCAAGAATGATAAATATAAAGAAATTTGACTATAATTTTAAATAAGAATTTTGAATAAAATTTCTTTAATAAAATTCTTTATATTTAATATTTTTAATAATTTATTTTTTTATTTTGTTTAAATTTATATAATAAAATATATTATGATTAAATATAAATTAAGATTTACTTTATATAATGACAATCAAAAAATAATGTAATAGTATTAAAATTTATTAATAAAATATAGTAAAATATGAGTTTTTTTATATAAAAGTTTTTAATTTATTAATAAATATATTTTAATTTATATTGAAATAAAAATAATATTACACATTTTAACATATATTTTGTCAGATTAATCTAATTAAATTGTTCTAATTGTATATAAAGATAATACTTTTTTATATATTTAATTATAAAAAAATTATATAATATTATTTTTATTTCAATATAAAAATAAAAAATATTTATTAAACTTTTATATAAAGAAAAAAATTCATATTTTACTATGTTTTATTAATAAATTTTGATATTGTTGCATTATTTTGATTGTTATTATATATATTATTAAAAATTATAATAAAAATTTTATTAAATTTTATTTATTTATAAATTTTTAATTGAATTATAATTATAATTATAATTATTTTTTTATTGAGAAGATTTTTTAGTTGTTTATAAAATAAATACATATTATTTTTTTATTTGACTTGAATCATATAAATAACATATTATATAATTGAAGTTTATAAAATATATCCAGATAATAATAATATTATAAGCAATTTATAAAATAATTAATTGCCAATTTTTTTTGTCTTGATCTATAATCAAGTAAAGTTTGATCATGATAATTCTGGACAAAATTAACATTAGTAATTAACTGACTAATACAGTCAAATCTATTTATAGTTACCACTCTTGAAAAAGCAAAATTTGGTGACTATAGAAGAAATATGACTATAAAGAGATTTTTTTTACTGTTTATATGTAAATGGAAAAGCAAAATAGAGTGACTATAAAGAGATGTGACTATAAACAGGTGTAACTATAGAGGGACTTGACTATATTGTAATCTAAATTATGAAATTATATTTTATATTATGAATAAAGATGGTGTTTCAATAATTGCGACTTGCAATATCCAATCAGAGAATTGCGATTTAATTGCGATTAATTGCGACAGCCAATCAGAGAATAGCAACCAATTGCGATGAATAATGTATTTATATTATATCTAAGATTACAATACCTCTAATTGGTTGAATTAATAATTACGTCATGATCTGTAGCCTCAAATTTCGCCACACTTGTTGGCACCCACTGAACCAATAGTTAGATATAACATACCATTCAGCCGATTTATTATTCATGTAGCTTGATGATGAGAAAATCATTGCATGAATTGTACGTATTATGATGTAATAATGTTTGTGTTACGATTTAATATATTAATATAACGGTAACATTCACCAGAGAAATTACAAAATCTACAATTATGAAATCATTTTTTCGGAGAATTTTGTATGTAGAAGGTGGTGGTCGCCGAAATCAAAGCATTCAAGATAAAGTGTCTTTTAGTGCTAAAAGACGCTCAAAAGATTTGTTTATAATTGTTTGTATAAGTATTTTGTTGCTGACCTTACTTTATTTTCTTTTGTCATTGAATACCTTCACGACAAGTGGTGGGTCGGATGCAACAAATTCAGACAAAATAAACAGCGATTCTAAGAATAAGAGCGAAAATTCCCAACCTTCCAAATCAAAAATTTCAACGAAGGAAATCTCACCATATTCGAATCATATTTTTATGAGCACCCTCCCTTCCTCGTTAATCTCTGATAAACGTTTAATCTTCATTGGGGATGTACATGGGGCTCTTAAAGAACTTGACGCTCTTCTTGAAAAACTGGATTTCTCACCGACAAATGATCATCTTATTTTCACTGGTGATCTATGCGCAAAAGGTTCAGATTCACTTGGAGTATTGAGAAGAGTGAGGGAGTTGGGTGCAAGTAGTGTGAGAGGAAATCATGATGATAAAGTGGTGAGATGGAAGGGATTTTTGAAAAGTCTGGAAGTGGATAACAAAGAATTTGAAGTTAATAGCGTGCCAAAAGACCTTAAGATTGGAACTGAACATGAGAGTATGGCAAGGTTGGTTTAGCGAATTGATTGAATGTCATTGAGAAATACAGAAAGTATATTTAGTCTTTTTCATTTCTTTAGAGATATAACTGAAGATTTATATGAAACACTTCTATCTTTTCCGCTGATACTTGATATCCCAGAATATAATTTATATGTTGTTCACGCTGGTTTACTACCTGATATACCATTAACTGACCAATCACCCTTTGATATCATGAACATGGTAGTCATTCAACCTTGCTTTTAATACTTGAGCAAAATTGTAACATCACATGTAATCATATTAATTCTACTCTTCCTTTCCATATATTATTAAGCGAAATGTAAAAAGCGATGGGACTCCCACTAAACAAAAACACAAGGGTCGCGGATGGTTTGACCTCTGGAATCAGGCACAATCACAATCCGGAAATCCTAGAACTATAATCTACGGACATGATGCTTCAAGAGGATTACATATTAAAAAATATACAATAGGATTAGATTCAGGATGTGGATCCGGTCGAGAATTAACTGCATTGATATGGAATAAGGATCGCAGTAAATGCAAGTTTGTTAGTGTAAAATGTTCAAGACCGAAAGTGAATTTGGAGGATTCCGATTAAGTATTTCTTTTATAATTATTTAGTTAACAGAAAAACTCATGTAAATATGAGAATTATCCAAAAAGAAAGTAGAGAACATTTAACATCAACATTATTATTTATTAATATTGTTTATTTATTTATTATTTTTCCGCAATGCCTCTTCTCGCTCCCAAACCCACAGCATTAATCTAGCATCTACGTTGAATTGTTTTTCTATCATCCATTGTATCAATTTCAATGCTTTTTGCTCTCTCTTTTGTCCTCCCAATAACACATTAATTAATGCTATCAATTCATGAGTTTTCAATGTTGGTCGAACGAGTTCATTTTGTGATAAATGACCATATATTTGATCAAAAATTGGCCCAAAATCAGTGGGTGAACGCGGCAAAGTGTCCAACATTGGAACTCCCTTTTGATGATACCATTGTTGGATAGGAAACCGATTAGAACTTCGCTTTTGTACCTTTAGCTCGTAATAAATCCGTTCAAAAAATAAATGATAAATTGTAATTGTCGGATTAACTCGCATTTCCGTCATTTCGTTCAAAATTTCAATGGCTTTGGTCCAATCCTCCCGATCAATAAATGCACTTATTAATACATGAAATGTAGAGATAATAGGTGTGACATTCTGAACAATTTGTTTGTGTGTTTGACTATTAAGATAAATTAAAATTGCGTTATTTAATTGACTATTTTTTTGATAATGACTCTTGTTGTTATGATTATCATCATCATCTTTAGAAGAGCCAATATTGTCTTTAATAATTTTATCGTTTGGCAATTTTCTAATCCATTCTTTACCACTTATTGCATCCTTTACTCTATTCGCAATAGCTTTGTAAAGTTCCATGGCTGCCTGCATATTATCAGTTCTAATGTATGTTTTAATGAGAATATTCAATACAGTAATATCCGGTTTATAGCCTGATTTTATCAGCTCATTAAAAGTTTTCAATAGTCCTTGAAGATCATTTACTTTCGCATATCCCTTAAAGATCGACGTATAGATAAATAGGCCAGGTTTCATGCGATAAACTTTTTGCATTTCATCCATTAATTGTCCGGCTAATTGTATTTGATTCCCTTGAATCGCCATTTCAATTAAAATACTAAATGTTATTATACTTGGTTGAATATTTCCTTGGAATTTCATTTCATTAAATATTGAGATTGCATCATCGATTTGTTGACGTGTTATCACGCCCGTTTTATGTGCAGAAGAACTATGAATAAAGTGGAGAAGAGAGTTGTACTCGTCGATAAAAATCGGATATCCTTGCGATTTTAAGTCATCAAGAACATCAAATAGGATTCTAGGATTTCGCTCTCGTTTTGGAGTTTCGCGAACTATCACATTTATAAGATCTCTATAATCACTACGAGTTAATAGCGAAAGGCCGGGAGTTTCACGAAGATAATGATATGCGGTTAAAGATCTTTCAAGATGACGTACTTTTAGACCGTGATAGAAATTTCGAAGTAATCCACATATTTCGAATATTCTTAGATTTAATTGATTGTTCGTAGAGATCTTGAGCGCTTTTTTCATTGGAACCCAACAGAACTTGTTGACATTGTCATCGTTATTATCGGATTTTTTTGTTTTTAATAAATTTAATTTTTCTTGTTCTTGTTCTTGCTCTTGTAATTTAGACTCATTTGAAATTGCAGGCAATAGAATCACATCATCAGTCTTATTCATCAGAAGAATATCTTCACAATCATCATAAATTGGTGGAATAAACGACGTATCTTTATTCGTATCTAGATAATCATCACGTTCGTCTCTAATAACAGAATTAGCAGAGTCTGTTACTATTTGACATTCATCCCTTCTTTTAAAACTATAAATGCTCCTTTTAATAAAATTACTACTTATCGAACGTAATTGTTCAAAATGTTCCTCACCAAAATAAGGTTGTGATTGTTTCAAGCAACGGCGGCCACTTTGAAGCCATAATAAATGTTGTTTTACTCGTTTTCTAAAGCGAGTTAAATCCTGTCTGTTTGTATATAAAGTTGGTTGTAATAAATGGTTTCTGGTTTTATCCCGTTTTCGAAACAGAAATCTTGAGTTTATTGAAATTGCTGAACATAAGTGCTTTTCGGTTCGATTTTTGAAAAACATCATATCATCAGTTTGCATCAAAAAATTCAAAGTCATATGATTCGAATGAAAATTAAAATTTTCTTCAAACGGAAATGGATGCTAATTCAGACAATGCCAATATTGACCCACAAGATAACACGTCAACTGGTTCAGCTACGTCTCGAGAACAAGGATGTGGAAACGTTGTAGTTAATATATTAGATAAAATTGATATTGTACCTATCGTGACATATTTGATTTTGTATTTCATATAACAATCAATTGATTAATGTTTTATTCGAAGTTTAGATACCAGGACTGAATAAAGATATGCGGAACGTCACGTTTGTGCTTAAAGATGAAGATCACACACTTGGAAACACTCTTCGTTATGTGATAATGAAAAAGTATTTAGTTAGCGTTTATTCGATCGATTGCTGATATGGAGATGATATTAATTTTGTGATTCCTCGAAAATAAAGTCCTCATGTCGATTATTGTGGATATTCTATTCCACACCCATCAGAAGCAAAATTAAATCTTCGAGTACAAACATCTGGTAATCTCGAGCGAGATATTTTTTATAAATAATAAAATAATTTATAAATAATAAAAATTTATGATTTATAAAATAGAGAAAACAGATGCAGTGGAAGCTTTGAAAAAAGGTTTAGAGGATTTAGCGGGATTATGTCTTTATGTTGAATCAGAATTTAAAAAAAAAATTCAGGAAAGTGGTTTCGACTATGATCCAGATAGCCTGTAAAGTGGTGTCAATTGATTGGGTGAGCTATTTATGGTATGTTCGGGTTTTTGCTTAGACTTTTAATTAATAATTGATTTATACATTAAAACCCTCATTTCCTATATGATCTCTTTCCATTCTCTATTTATCTTCGCTAAGTATTTGCTTTTCTGTTCCCTCGTTCTTTCTATCAACAATATCCTTATTCTCGTCTTGCTTTCCTTCGTCTATTTTCTCGTCGTTCAATGTTAATAATCCAACAAATTGTCTCGTCAATAAATTAAACATACTTCCAAAGAACAATGCAAGTACGGTACATGTCAACGTAATAACATTATATGGCATGCTAAAATCTGGCGTGGGTAGACTGACGAGTAATGTTTCTGTGTAAATTCGAATTGGTGATTTGATTTTAAATTTAAATCTAAAAATAAATAAAATATAATTAGCAATAAAAAGATATATAGTTTATTGTTTATCCATGTAAGCGTACCCATATCCTTCTGCTTTTTTCTGGTTATCTTCAGCCTCGTTACTAGAAATAACTGTAATAACCGCAGGTCCAACATCAAATCCCCGATTAGGATCAGGTGGATGTTCGGTATACTTTAAAAATACTTTGTCAAATAATATTGAGAGAGTAGTTATGGAATTGGATGGTAAATGAATCAATGCTTCAATGACAGCTGGTCGTGAACGGTCAACAGCTGGTTGATAATATAAATCTTTGATAGGGTAATCTTTTAGTTTTTCAACAAAATAAAATTCATTAATGAATCATTGCAAAGATTATTCTTATAATGGACGTCAATTATTTCAATTACCTTTAGATTTAGAATTCACCTCCACTCCATTGATTTTTACTTTTAAAGTGTGCAGGTATAATTTTAAATACCATGGAATTACATCATAATATACAATTGGAATTGTGAGATCAGGACTCTTATTGAAAATGTTCACTTTAATACCGCCCCGTTCTTGTCCGTATCCTAAATTAAACGATTGGAAATAAATCTGAAATTCGAAGTTTGAATGAAATACTGAATATTGGATAACACTTACCAGAGAAATAACGATGTGCAAAAACCCGAGGTAGTATGACTTGATTATCTGAAAAAGGAATGAATACGTCATTAATGTCATAACAAACTAATCAGTTATTTGTTATCAGTGAATTATTACTAACCATACGTGAATTGGGATTCATTCCATTTCATTGAAAGCTCTAAATTATGTGGATCTATTTAAAGAAAAACAAAGAAACCAAGAATGGAGATTAATGTTGAATTAAATAAACAAATTAATAGATCAAATCATTAGTTATAACCTTTCTTAAGATCATAGATCGCTATATTTTGATTTACAGTTTCGCCCTTGATCACCTGGTCAGCTTCTGGCATTATCTCAAAATCACCTTCTTCTGGTATAATTAACAATAAATTACTTTCTTTAGCCAATGGACATGCCCGTGATATTTTTCGACTATATAATTCATTCAGAGACCAGTCTATAAATAAATTATCAACCGTCAATAATTGAATAAAACCTATCTTACCAGAAAAACCGATAAAACGTTCAACAATACCTCTGATTTCCTTGTTCCTTACAGGATTAATTACCGTAGATAATGTTTGTAAAATTTCCAATTTTTGGTGAGTACACTCTGAATCTTGACATATTGGTCGTACATTGATGGACATTGAGTGAAAATTGGAGTTGTATAATTCATGTCCATTTAATAATGACGCTATGCCAGCCTTTGATACGTGAAAATGACATAGTAAAATTATTTAATATAAAATAGACTAAATCAAATAGCTTACAACTTACAGTAGATTTACATGGTAATAATTTAATCCAAGGTGTTAAATTTTCAGTACAAACATTTTCATGTGGTAATGAACCTGATCTTAATTCTGCACTGTCAAATAATTCTGTATCTATGCAAGTAGAATTAATTAATCTAATTTACATTTTTTTAATTTTAAATCAATTACACCAACACTTACCATTATGTGGTCCTTCAGGACGAAATGACAATTGTGGTTGAACTGTTTTCGTTTCATCTATAAAGTTTAACGAAGCACAAAATAGACCGGCTAAAGCATTTGTCAATGATTTCCAATTATCATCCAATCTAATTTTATCGATTGGAGCAAATTCATAACAAATAATAAATGTGATTGAACAATAAACACCCCATATGAAAATCACAAATCATTAATAAATTCAATAAATTACACGCAATGCGCGTTACTTTTCATTCTTCCATAACCAAGCCCAAAGTTCAACTCCAGTACCAGCAGAAAAGGAAAGCGGATATCCCCATTTCTCGTATTCCCAACGACCTTGCGTGAAAGTAAGGTGTAACTCTCGAGCGCTATACTGTTGCACTATTTGTCCTATTGCACGAGGAAATAGATTGTAATGGTTGACTTTTCATTTGACATGTATACATAAATTGGATAAAATGAATTAATATAAAAATTTTACATTTGTAATATATAAGGAAAACTTATCCTTACTTACACCTAGCACCTTCCCTCGCTGCTCCCTCAAGCTGAATACTAAACTGAAAATGTGTCAACAATTTGCCATCCGATAAGGGTTTTATGGTCAAACTCTCCTTGAATTCATCGAAATTTTTTATCATTGACCCATGACATGATACGAAATATAGAATAATAAATAAAATTTTTAGTTGCGACATTTTATTTTTAACATGCAGTTTGTCTCAACTAGTGAATATGAATTTTTCTTTGGAACGCGTGATGTCACCAAATGCGGATTAAAACTAGTTTGGTTTTTTTGATTTTAATTTAATTTACATGTATGCATATGGTAGTAATTAATTCAACCTTTTTCTCTAACATATCACTGTGTTTATTAATAAAAATAAGTTTAGAGTGAGAAGATGTACCAGCCTCTATAATTATTATGTATTAAATATATCAGATGGAGTAGAGTTCATATTAAACTTAAAATAACTAGTTAAAATTAAAAAATTATAGCAAATAAATTTTAATTATTTTGTAATTGTTCAATGAATCATAAAGAAATGCAAAACAAGCAAAACAACCATAACAACTGTAACAATAGTGACACGTGTAAAAAAGAAAACAGCTTAATTGTGATTCATATTGGGATTAAGGGATAATTAGGATTTGTTGTGACTATTAAGTATTTTGTTTTCTCAATGTAAAGAAGCGATTGTAGTAGTTGGTTCATTGATTGATTGCTCATTTCTTTTTATTATATATCCCATTTAATCTCAATTTACTTCACAAAGAAGCTGCTTCTCCAGAATGTACCTTCCCTCTTTATAACGTTGACTCTGTTCATATGCTTTTTCCTAATATTATAAATGAATAAAGATTATTAATGGTGACGAAAATAAAAAAAATAATAATCGATCAACTCACATATTTCCATCCTAACACAGCTCGGCACCGAGAACAGGAAATATCTTTGACAGTGTGAAGACCTGTAGTCATATGACGATCCTCAGAAGGACCTTCTTCTACATTGACGCTGAATTCAGAAAAATTTAAATGATCAATATCGAGTGAATTCCTCTATAATATGAAGAAATTTTTACGCAAAACAATAAAATCCCTTTGATCTTTTAAGTAAATGGGATAATATGATGATTTGGATTACATACACATTATCAAAGAGATAAGCGCGTCCATGCTGACCCTGGAAAGCCTACATGTATATACAGAAAAACACCCATTCAAACAAAAATGTCGAAATGAGCAAGTTTAATGGAAATGGTTAGCAAAACTTTAGAAATCTACAATAAACAACCTTTGAGATAATACTCTCAGTTGTAGAAAGATGTGTTCGACATTTGCTACATCCAAAAACACGACTTCCTTCCAAATAAGTACGATAAGTAAGCCCCATTGTTATTAGTAAACTGTTGTCGTTAAGTAAGCTTTTGGTTAAAGTTTCAATTATCAAGGTTGTGTTTTATTTGCTTTATTAAAAAGATTAGCTGAAGAGGTAATTCAAAATGCACAAGAAAATTAAATATTATTGTCGAAATTCTTAGGGAGAAAGGTTCATACTTAATGAACTCGCACAACGGCCCCCAAAATTCCACTGCCGGATTTTCCGACCCCTGAAGATCTGTACTACTAATGATCGTTATCCGGCAACTTTGCAGGTGAATATAAAAATGCAAAATTGGGTTCGTGTCACATCGGCACCAAATGATTTCAGTCAAGGAATACAGACAGAAGTGATTATTTCTTTTTATAGTTAAGATAATTTTTTTAGAATATTCTAATACAAAATGATATTTTTCTTGAAGAATATTATAAGTCATCAACTTTTTTGATATTCTATTAGTTATTTTATTTTGCATTATATTGTTGTGATATGAATTTTAGCATATCACATGACTTTTAACAGTTAATTTTCATTGGATAATTGATTTATAAATCATATTCATATTTATTTTATATTATTCATATTTATTTCATACTATTTTTATAACATTTCATTCTATTTCTATTTTATTTCATACTATTATCATTTTATTTCAT